AAGAAATCTGGTTTTACGCCACCACCCCCTCCTGGTAATTATTGCACATGGAACTCCTTTCAGTGTTGGCCTTCCACGAACCACGTGTGCGTTTGTAAGTGAGATCAGTGTTCTATTGGTTGATTTCCTTCGTTTTCTTGGTTAGCTTGCTTTCCTCGATCATAAACCAGGTTCGTAAATATCGTGACAAGTCACGAGGCCGACTGATTGGTTCAAAAATGATATTCTCAACGCAGGCGCTACCAATTTAAAGCGTAATATTTACAAAAAGTCCAGTTGAATTTTTAGACATGAGCTTCCGCAGAAAACCCACGTAAAAAGTGAAGATAAAACTATTCTTTCGGCGAGGAAAACTGAAGCTGAAACTGTTTTATTGCTCTTTTTTGCTTTTAACTTGGAGAGTTAATTAATTGTTTAATTCATTGCAGAATTGCATTATTCATTTTAGCATTTTCACCCTTGAAAATGAAAATATATCGAGAAGGTTACAAGGCTCAACAAATGCCTTGTAACTGAATTTTAATGTGAGCTTTACATTTATTCGAAGTTCTAGTCTGTAGTAAAGGAACAGTTTAATTTTTCCTAGTTGAGATCTCTCTTATGGTAACAGAGCATTTTAGGTGCTATTAAAAGGCAACTAAAAATTACGGCGAAAAGAGTAGTTGAAGTAATACCTACACTGTATGGAATTCTTACTAATAGCCCATACATGTACCTTACTTTTTTTAGGAAGCCTCAATGTTTCTAACAGCAAGGCATCTCAAAATTCCAACCCAAAACTCAGTTTCTTATCACTATTCTATCATAATATTCTAATAGGTAGCGCGTTTATGTGATCTGTGATCGTCTAGCTTTTTTCTAATTTCCGATGAAAAGAGAATGGTATACATGTATCACCTGTCTGCATTCAGAAAGTCAGCAGTTTTAATACATAATATATTGTGTTTCCATTAATTCAAAATTTCGGTAATAAGAATTCAAGCTAAAATACTATTTAATTCTATACAATTAATTAATTTGTGTTTTAGAAATGACAATTTTTCGAAAACGTTGGCTTTTTTAGATATATTAGATACATTGATTTTAATTCTGATTTTCAGTATACTTTCCCACAACCTTTCGATAATTGTAGTAACATTTTGATGCGATTAAGCAGCTTTTTTGACTTCGTTGAGCAGATTTATGGAGGTTCAGTGTGGTCACGCATTGGTACGCATTGGAGCCATTGACTTTCAATGTATGAAGAGTCATTGATCCGAGCTTGATTCATGTTAATTTATTCACGCAACTTTGACACGATGATATAATGACATTTCTTTCATTTTAATAGTCTTTTAAAAGTATAAGTGTAAGGCCAAGGGTACGTTAAATCTAAAAAAGGAAATAAAAAACAGCAATGTCCCAAAATGATTGTCTAAATTCGCTAGTGTTAATCTTCAAAATGGCGTGATCCGGACTTTAAAATGTTGTCCTTTGTTTTAAGATATCAAGCAATCAGACTGAGCTAAACCCACTAATCAGTACTTAGGATGGGAATCTTCGTATTACTCTTAAAATTTAGTAGTCAACTGTTAAATGTCAACGTTATTCAGCGATTCCTTCACATAGCTTTTTAATGTGGAATCTTAAGATATTGGGCTCAGACTCGTTGGCGCTTTTAGCTGATAATTTGAATAAATTATAGTAAAGATTGGACCTATATATACAACTCAAAACTCTCATAAAATTCGATTGGATGCGGTTTGCTGGTGCCCTCAGACATATATTTCCGAACTATAAAAGAACATTCAACAACATAAAGCTGAGTATTTTTGGATTTTGTTTTGACAGTTTTCCAATGAATTTGGTTTTATTATTTCTTTTTATGTTAAGTATTATTATTATTAAATATTATTGATTATTTATTGATTTACTTTGTTTTACCTACAGCGCTTTTGTCCATGTGTTTTTATCTAAGTCTTAAAAATCATTCTACATACTGGTAAGGAATGGCACAGCTGATATCACACAGAGAATCTAAAATGATTGTACTTTGATCTTCACTTAAAAATATCTTATCTGAGCCAATCTTGCAGTAAAAAGCATGCAGCCAGTGCTGATTTGAGCAGCATCCAGCACCCTAACAAAATATTGCGACTAACTATGACATATATACGATGATAGTTGATAAAGTCGATATTGAATCACATTGAATGCATATTTTCATTTGATCTAGCGGCCCAACCTAATATATTATTTCATATTATAAAGAAACTTAAATATAGATAGTATATTTTGTTTTCTTCTTTCAAATGCATATAGCTCAATGGTATAGTTAAATTCAACAGGATATTTACATAGAGTATATAGACGAAAGGACGTTAATTTTCAAAAGTGCTTTAGTTTTGAAACTTTGCAAAATGCTTTAGTTTTGAAACTTTGGAACAATAGACGAAATTAACAGGATTTTTTTTGAATATCCGGGGTTTTTTTGCCTACATATTACTGCTATAGATCTGACCTTCATAGATGAGGAGTACCACGAGAAGGAGCAGCATATTTGAAGCAAGAGCTCGCTTCATGATCACCTGCTATGTATTCCCACGAAGCTAAAAACTCTTTATGAATGATCAACAGTAGAATATCTGTCTTGAAAAGCCAATTCCCTTTGTAGGAATAAATTGGCAAAGGTTTCAACGCTCAGTGTTCTAGTTTTGCTGCTTAGTTTGTTTAGTGACTCAATCAGTTGGAATTAGTATAACGTCTTTAAACAATGATAATCCATAGTTTACATGACTCAATACAGTGTTGCATGGCGCTCATTGCGTCAATATCAATGAAAGTCAAGATACCGTGAAATAACTTTATCAATTTTGGAATATTTAGAAATGACTAAAGACATTCAAACTRCTATAGCACAACTCCACATAATACTCAAAAGCAAAGAACAATTCCAACATGGATAAAACTGAAAGCCGTCTTAACTATTTCTCATTATTTTCAATGGAGGAAAATTTGGAAATAAATAATCGGAATTCTTTAGAATACTATAAAAATATTGACCGCAGTGAAACATCTGCATTAAACAAAGTTAATAATTCTTTGTAAAACTTTCTATGCAGTGAAAGATTTTCTTGTCGATCAAAAGGTCCACATTGCGAATATTCCAACAATAATATCTGGGTGATTACTGAAAAAAATCAGTCATTTGTAAGTTTATTTGCAAAGTCAAATTGTGCTCAGGCGTAGCCAAAGCTACGTAAAAAAACAATTTCTTATCAGTCTCATTAAGCATATTGTAAAAAGTCCATGTGAAGGTTTTTTTATGTGATTTAGTTTTTACTGCATGAAATTTTATACAACCCACTCATCGTACAGTGACGTCACATGGAAAAATTCTATTGTTTTAACGCTAGGAATTATGGTCGCCTGAGGGTGCAACCTCAATAAAAATCACTAAAATCATTTAAGTCTCTCGAGACACGCATTATTTTGCTATGTGTTGATGTGTTTGTCGACCAAAAAACACTATTATACATATATACATTGTATTTTATCTAAAATCGGATTGGTTAAAAGACCTCAACACCAACAAAAGAGTGTCTGCATGATGCGCCCTCAGAGTACATTTACTAACCTTGAGCCCTAATAAAGATACTGTCGGTACAGCTTTGGCATGGCCTATTTTTGCTAGAATGTTATTTTCAGATGCAAACAGTTCATTTCGGAACATGTTGATCGCAGTTGCTTTTACCTCGATTATTTCAGATATGTGAAAAATCTCATCCAATAATTATTCATAGAATATAGTTATACGTAATTAGTTATACGTAACGGGACAACGTGAATTTTGTAATATCGGGAAATAACCAGAAGATTAAAACTAAATTCATACAATAAACTCAGARAGTTTCACTGAAAAAGATTAAATCCTCTTGAAGTATACAAAAGTATACAAATTTTGTTAATGAAAAATTTACCACTATGTTTTTATCGCTACTGGATTTTTATCAAACAAACAGTCACGCATGAGTCAAGTTCGTGTGACGTTTTATGGTAATTACCTATATTTATATGTACTCAAGCGAGCCTTTTTGCTAGTGTGAAGGCCAAACGGCCAAAATACCGTGAGCCGTTTGCGTGACCTACCATAGAAGACAAGGTTAATACAATTTTTAAATTGAACAGACAGATAAATATAAGMTTAATTGAGATGTGCTTGTCCGTGGCGTTCAATATTTAGTCACAATAATAGTCTCCTTCACGGTTACCAGCGCCATCTTGAAAGTTAGCCGTGCCTTTACATCGAAGCGAGACAACAGTTGAGCTTGCAATGATAGATACCTGTGAATTATTGTCTGTAGGTGTGAAAAAAGGTTTCTATCATTGCACGCTCAACGGTCGTCTCGATTCGATGCAAAGGCACGGCTACCTTTCAAGATGGCGCAGGTAACCGTGAAGAAGACTATTGAGATCATTCGTAGCMTGCGTGAAGCAYTGCACGTCTGTACTCTGTCTAGATCATTCCAATCTCGCTATAACTTTCGTGATAGCCAGAGAAAGAATACATTTCATTTATTAAGTATATTATTAAGCTGATCAATMTTACAGTAAATTAAACTCTACTTAATAACTGACATACTAGGCATGGCTATGAGTAATAATATATTTAGTATATATTATATTATATTATATTTATAACAGCCTATTGTATTCACACGTATTCACACCTACGCAGTTTTAATTAATAGTATACTCTCCTTTGTAATTTTTACCTTCACACCTATTGTTTCTAGCATAACTATCATGTATGTAAATAGCCTAGCACTTAGCCTTTTGTTCTATACCATGTTTATATATCTAGATTATAGGAATGTTTACACCTAATTGAAAAAACGTAGTCGTGTTCKAAAAGGTCACATCATAGAAGCTAAGACCGAAAGGGATTTTGAGTACCACTAAATTGGGATTACATTTACATATACGGTGTAAGCAACTAGACCTAGTAAGATTAACAGCATGCTAGTCTTTTATGCTGGAGAGCTGTTTGTTATGAATTAGCCAAATTGTTTGTCTTCCCAAGTACCTTTTCGGTCTTAGCTTCTATGATTWGACCTTTTTGGACCCGACAACGTTTYTTCAATTAGGTGTATCATGAAATACTGTCTGATGAGTGCGTAGCACGAAACTCGGAGTTACAGCAAAATCTTGCCTCTTTGATATCATATATATAACCCAGTGCGGGGYGAGGTTTAGTTTAGTAATAAGTTGAATTATAAGACCAAGGCGTGCGCTATCTAATGATTAAAATACTCTRCAGGCTCATATATCTAGTSAAGCTCAGCCTAACAAGTTCCGCAATCCTTTTTTTATGATAAATATAGTGACTGTTTTGGACGCCATGTAACGTCTCYAGAAGCWTACAATGAGAAATCGACGTCAAATAATTTCCGTTGGATGCCAATAGACCTAATCGGCAACGCGTTGCTATGTACGTTACCAGTCAATTCAAATCCTGTGGGAAAAAGAACATTTTTGTCAAGAATTCAACTATGAAATATAATACAACGAACAATGAAASTTACTTCTAGGTAGTTTACATTGGATTGAAAACGAGTTGAAAACTGAAAACGCTTACGTCTATTCGGAAAGAATCACAATTCACAAACGTTCGATCCTACACTAAGGACTTAGCTGGCCTGTTTCGCGACTGAAGCCACTTCGTTGATCTAACTTTCCCATTCACGGCTAACTGAACATACAGCTAAATATAGCTATTCAAGCTGAAGAAACATTTGGGCAAAATTTGTTAACAAACCTTGATTATATTTCATTGTTTTAATACATATAGAGTGGTTTTCATTATCTCATGAAACACACTATAGCGTATTTATCGCTATTACAATTTGGCTCTTTTGTTTTTTTATTGTCTCTACGCGACTATTACGATCTATTACACTCTAATTATTACACTTTGTTTCACGGGTTTATGAAAACCACTTTATAATAAACAATGYTATACGATATTCAACTGTGTAATAATATAATAATTTATTAATTTTTATTGCGCGTTTTCCATATAATGATCAAGACCGCATGTTAAGGGTGACGCAATCGATATCATACGAGCGTAATTATGCTTCGCGGTTCAATGGAGAGATAGAGCTGACATTGCCAAGTTCAAACTAACACCAGGGTGAGAATTTAGGATTTAGAAAATGAGAGACTACGCTAATAGATATCTAGAAGATTCTATTTTCATTATATTCATTTTCTGGAAAATGAGTTTTAATTACTATTATTATCAATATTCTTATTATTATTCATATTCTTATTGATATTACTGACCTTTAAGATTATTCTAAATGAGCTTATTTGTGTTATTGATAAAATAAAAAATATTATTATTATGAAAAAATTAACAAAATATATGATTAGAAATCAGAAATAATGATCTTTTTTAAGTCTTACGAAATCAGTTGCTTCAGGCTGATCTCAATATTACATGGGTTTCCGGAGGAAGCGGGGATGTCTTAAATTAGCACTACCTTCAGCGGAGTGCAAACATTAAAGGTGCTGTTAGACTGTATATTTAAGCCGGGTTATTTTTACTTCTAGCTGGTATCTTATAGCGGTAAAAATTTTATGTTGACACACCCACCCTCGTAAGACTCTGTTACCTTAATTAATTAATTTATATATTTATTAATTTATTTATTAATTTATTTATTAATTTATTTATTAATTAATTTATTAATTTATTTATTAATTTATTTATTAACTAATTTATTAATTTATTTATTAATTTATTTATTAACTAATTTATTAGTTAATTTATTAATTTATTTATTAATTTATTTATTTATTTATTTATTTATTCATTCATTCATTCATCCATTCACTCATTCATTCATCCATTTATTTTTTATTTTTTATTTATTTTTTATTTTTTATTTATTTATTTATTTATTTATTTTTTATTTATTTTATTTTATTTTTGTGATCAGTGATCGTCCCCTTAATATCAGGCAGCTTAACCTGAAATCAGGTTCTTAATTTTTGAATATTGGTAAGCTGTTAGGTAATATCTTTGTATAGTTTAAATTACGATCTCGAGTGTTTTAAGCGGCCAAAAAAAAACATGCATAATTAATGAGTTATTAGGCCAATAAAATAAAACTATTTGGTCACGTGCATGGACCTTTATATCTTAKAAAACACTCCATATTAGCATTCTCAATAATCTAAAGAATACRAATGAGGTTGACCGTTAACATTATAACGGCCACATGATCCTATTTGACGCATCATCATTGACCAATGCAGGATTTCAACCGTTTGCATTGAAATAGCTACCAGGTCTTCTACTTTACTTTATGCGTATTCAATGTGGGAAGATAAGAGTTACAAGAGTTTTTGTTTTGTTAAGTGTTTCGCGCATGATCAGTTTTCTCCATTTATCTCAAAATAATTTTTTYGACCATTTCTCCAAGAATCTTAACGGAATTAACTTTTAAATTAGTGTCGGAGTTTTTTAATTATAACATTTAACACTWTATATGCACACAGTGCTACACAACAAATTGACTTTTCATTCAGAAATCCAGAAGCAAAAAAAGAAAAAAAAATTAAGATTAAAATGTTTCTTATGTGGAATGGTGCTTAAAATAAATATTCCAGCCTGATAAGCTCTTCTCCAATGATATTTACAAACTGAAAAAATTGTCATACACACAAATGAACGGGGTTCTTAATCTAATGGTTAGATATATTTTTCACATAGTGATATAKAGGATAATAGAGGATATTACATGGGCGCGCGGAGATGCGGATTTTATCTTCGAGTGTTGGAAAGATCTCTGACSAGTGAACGTAGCGAAATTTTCAAAACGAGAAGATAAATTTCGTATCTCCAAGCGACCATGTAATATTCTATTCATCATATAATTGTATATGAAAGAAAATAATGTCTTAAAATAGCTTTTTTCTTACTCACACTATATAGAGAAACCTCGAATGTGTTATTTTCACTAGTAATAACATATTACTTTCACTAGTGAAGATAGCAWGTTTAAAAAATGGAGAAATATAGGTATTTCATAGATACAGCCTTTTGCAAAAATTATGAGAATTGTCTAAATATCTAAATATCATAATATCAATTGCATGATGGGTAATCCCACGCGATTCCCGTTTGTCCTTTGTCTGTGTAGTTTAGTTTTTTTCGGCGGTGACGGACTTTATCCGTAGTTCTGAACATTTTCTCGATGTCAACAATGAATTATTCTAGCAAACCCGCGTGTTCTGGACAATATATTGATATGTATATTATGATATTTAGATATTTAGACAATTCTCATAATTTTTGCAAAAGGCTGTATTTATATTAAATATAAGTATATCATGGATAATTATACGATAAGCTCAATTATTCATCCTATGACATCAATACCTGTATTTTGCTATGAAGCCTACTTAGCGATAGCCAGCTGTAGTATCGGGTTTCCTGTGTATACTATATACTTCAATGAATTGTAGCAATTTGTTATATACCCAGACACTGATGTTTACTGATATTAATTGAGCTTATAACTTACAGTGTGAATTTTTTTTTTTTTTTTGACACAAGAAGACCAGTGTCGAAACAGATGGAACTTTAATGCTAAGTTTAGCGCTGAAACTACGCCAAAATTTTTACAATTGTATGTAATTTGAATAAATTTTCTTATCCCAAGTAACTGATTGAGTTTACAGTCGATATCCTATATACAATTTTAAATATATCGGAGCAATTGCGGCCGGGTTATGTATAATTCAAACTTGATTCATGCATGCTTTCTCGGTTTCGACCGATCTTTGGGAAAAGTCGTCATTGTGTTATATTGATTTTGTAAATGAGCTTGGTTCGAACGTATTTTGTATACTTTTAATACCAAATTTGGTGATTGTTTATAAAACTTTTTTTTTTGTTCTTAAAGTTACAACTATTAACGCTTCGAGCGGTAGAGCATTGTAAATCTCTTTATATAAAGCAGTATCATTCATTACAAAATCTAGTTAGTAAAGTGCTAGTAATTTTTTAACTTGTTTTAAGTTGGCAATAAATAAAAGCTCTGCAGAATTGTAAAGAGTCCGTTTTGCGTTCAATTTCTATTAAATAAAACACCTTTATTTTGCAATGCAAATGCCCCCACCCCTCCCTAGTAGAAATAYTACTTTTGTGCACTCAACCGGTCCCAAAGTAATGTACCAACTTTCGCTAAGTAGTTGTGAGTCTCGTTTTACGCGTTGACAATACTATGGTGTATTAGCGACAGTGCTGCAAACAAATCCATTTGGAGAATCTTTTGCGGACATGATACTCTAGACAAGGCCCATAGGTTTTCCACAAAGTTAACTTTGGAATAASAAACCTCTCAGCAAACTATCACTGCTCGCTCTGGTCGGTGTCTGACCTTATATCCGTATGGGTACTATAATAAAATGGAAGGCGTTTTGGCGAGTGGTTTTGGTAGTTTTTCTATTGAATTTTCAAGGTAAGTTGAACTAGTTTTTTATATGTATGAATATGGAATATCAAATTTATGCCTGCAAGCCACATGCAAAGAACAGCTTGAACAAAGTGCATAGCATTCATTTGGTCTAGTTTGAGGAGTTCGCGGTTTGTCTGTGAACTCYTTAGTTTTAAAATCGAACATTGTCAAATGAATTCAGACAGAAGTTTTATATATGTGCAATATTTTGGTGACAAACCTTCGATCTATTTCCCTCGATATCCACTATATTACCGTTAGATATTATTTTTAGAAGGTGATTGATCAGTAAGATATACAAATTAATATTGTGACCGCTTCAATCACATTGCCAAAATATCCACATCTATGTTCTTTATGAAATGTCAATCACAAATTTCAGCAGAAGCCAGGGCTCAAAATTTATAGAATATCACTATATTGAAGTATATACCAAATTATGGAAGTGGAAATTAATATGAAAGAAACCAAAAAAYTTTCTTCCGAATCAGTTTCTCCTGTATTTTAAGCGTCAAGTTTCGATTTAATTGTTTTATTTGGTTGTTAGACCAAAAAACAATAACAAAAATACAGAATTTTATCCTCCAAAGGAATATCTGAGCCCAATAGCGCCGCTTTCATATTTATAATTTAAAAATATTCTTATTCCAAATGATTTTGTTGGTTAATAAATTCGCAGGCTATTATACATATAYATTTATTTTTTGGTCATGACTTTTTGATAAAAAAAACTAATCTAAGGGATTTTTATTTAAAGGAATTCGATGATTTTAGATTTTAGTATTGAACAAAAGATGAAACAAAGATTATGATGAAGTCCCTATTCTTAGATGGCGTCTCTTAATAAATATTTTATGTTTTCATGCCTTAATTTGCAAATTTTGACCAATAAAACTATTTCATACAACAATAGTAAACTCTTTGTGTAAATTATAAGAATAACGATTGCTTTACAGCGAGGAAACAAAGTTCAGAATACAAACAAAGTGTTTTCAGTATTTAYTATTCAAATTTGGTGGGCTATTGCTAAACACCTGGCATGAAATTTTAAGCAATAGTATTAAGTTAAGMACCCGCTAAGAATTTKGTTTGACCTTTAAGARAATAGGTACATGATTCATAAAAAGTCTACGCAGCAAATTGTCTTAAACGTTTATTATGGCAACAGATATGCAATTGGGATTTTTTGCAAAAAATTAATGAAATAATAAGTATAGTAACATTATTTTTTTTCGGCCCAACAATGAGATTGTTGAATTTTTYCACCATCATTATATTGAAAAAAAGCGTGAAAACAATTAAAAGAATAATACTATGATATCGATTGCTGGCAAAATGATAGTAAATATTTCAAACGGCTGATGTTTTYAATAAATATAAAGGCCCGTTTACACTTGCGATTTTTGCAGCGCGATAATCGTCACTTTGCTATCGCGCAACTCAAATCGTACCTGTAAACAGCAATGCGATCGCCGCGAGAATCGCTCTGCAAAAATCGCAAGTGTAAACGGGCCTTAGGAAGCCACCTTTTTTGGTGTACCAATCTGATGATTGCAACATATATAGGGGCTTAATATAGAARGTATCGAAATTCAAATAACAACTTTGTAGAACTATCAATATATTTGATAAAAAGTGTTATGAAATTATTTTGGAGGCAGCAGTCGGAATTTTTATTTACTTTCAGTAGACAATCTCACTTTCGAGATTGACTGGTTTGCGTGACATGTTATAATTTCTTTTAATTTGTTTTAACATGATACAAAAGGAAGTGGCAAGTTTCCAGYGAAATATTTTCGCTGAATGATGGTTTTTGGTGACTTAATATACCCTTAAGATTCCTCTTTTCTTCTTCCTAGTACCCCGTCTCTTTCTAACTAGAAAATCCTTACGGGGGGTCTTAAAACAATAAAAAAAAAATTGAATTGTCAAGTTGTAATATCAAGAGATCCCCTGAAAATATCGATGCTCGATATGTTAATGATGTCTTCGGGTAGGGAGTTCCACTCCCTAATCGTTCTTRGAAAGAAGGAGTATTTGTGGTAGTCCGTTCTTGAGGACATATTCTTTAAGGCTTTGCTGTTGGTATGCCTACTCCTCCATTGCTTTGGTTCAAGTGTAGGTAGGCCATCATTTGCAATGAGKCCATGGATAATTTTGTACATCATCACGAGTCGATTTACCTTCCGTCTATGTTCAAGTGAATTCCATTTTAGGCTTTGAATCATTTCCGTATTTTCCGATTTACGCTTGTTGAAACACCGAGGGAACAAACAAAACCGYATTAAAAAGACACACAAAAAGAGGAGATATGGATCATTGAAAATATTGATGCTTGATCGATAATTATCTTTTCTTAATCGTAAAACGATGCTAGATAGATCGTTTAAATGGCAGTTTGACACTAAAATTAAACAAAATTTAAAAACTTAATAGACCGAAGACAAACAACGGAAGAAATGATAAAGACACTCGAACTTTATAAGATTATATTAGGAACCTGAGCTGTTTGGAGAGCAGGGTGCTTGCACTGTCCGACTGTCCTGACATAAAGTTAATTCAATAATTTTGAGGGTTTTTTTAATTTTTTTTAAAGTTTTTTTAAATTCAAAAAAATTATTTGCATGCATGTATAACAAATATGAATTTTTTTTATGCCTAAGATGGCACAAATACTCCAGTTTCGAGATCTTATTTGTGCAGTCTTAASCTGAAAAGCATGTACTATATTCTTTTATYCAGCAGAGWTCCWATTGTAATGCAARCRCTCTGTGTACAAAGAAGACAATAAATATTTATGCTTGATTGAAGTTAAGCTTGTWTAAAAGAGAATTCGAAAATGGAGTATGAATTGTAGTCTTTTCCTAAATGAATTCGTGACATATTTGGAAATAATGGTCAGACAATACTAAGGCAATCTTTGTGCAAGCATGAATTTTGAAGTAGCTACCAAATATGTAATGGAGAGAATGGTCTTTGAACATAGATGCACTGTTTATACTTAACTGGCTATACGATTTTAAATAAGGTTTTTTATGTTTTTAATAACACAAATTGTAAAATATATCAATGTAAACGTATTTTGAAGTAGAAAACCAAGGTAAATTGTTTAATTGCTTCGTTAAGGACAAGACCATATTTGACTGCCTGAACAAAAGGTGTTTGTACCGAATCAAGAACATAATGAAGTTAGTTATTCAGGGGCGGATCCCGGATTTTCATCAGGGAGGGGTGCAGGGCTCTCAGGAGGGGTTGCACCCCCGACAAAAATCATTACCACGAAGATACAAAATAAGGAAAGTATTGAAGGATACAGATCTCAGGAGGGGGTGCGCACCCCCTGCACCCAGCAGCTGGATCCGCCCATGCTATTTCATTGTAGACCTATGGCTGCATGTGTCGAGATAAAGCAATAGAGATCATTAATGCGAACTGATTGCCGTTCTTATGCTTATTCTCATGAGCATATAATTTGATCCGACGCGCGCACATCAGTATGCCCGTACACTTTTSAAATAGGCATGCCTTCATGAATTGCACTTGAATGATTTAAAGCTATAGGTAGGACGTGCCATTTTTGCCTGAAGCCAAGGCAATGAATTTTTTGAGCTGGTGAAAACCATTATAGCGACTTTATAGTTGAGTTGCTTTRCTGTCGTTTTGTGGATATTTCTATCAAATCATTGCCTATCGCCATGCTCTTACTCTACATCTTTTCTCAAGGACATACATTCTTAGTTTTATGCAAGAAATAATTTTAATTGATTCACTTAAAATTCCGTTTGTTTTCTACAGAAGTTTCTTCACAGTCAGAAAGTTCAGAATCTTCAGGTGGTGTGTCACCCACGCAACAAGATCAGTCATCGACGATAAATTCAATCGAACTAGCTCAATCCTCAATCGTGACATCATCAATGTCGACTGAATCATCAATTAGAATTTCGTCACARCAAGCTCAAACGTCAAGGATGACATCATCAAGTCATAGTCAACAATCAATAATGACATCATCACAAGTATCTCGATCTTCAACAGAAACATTCTCCAAGTCAGGTTTGTCTTCAGTTATGACGACATTGCAACAATCTCAATTGGAAACATTGACAAATTCCAAATCGATAGAACCTTCAACGGCAACTCCTTCATCGTCGATTGTCCCYTCTTTGACATCATTGAAGCCAAGTCATTCAATGACGGTATCATTACARGTAACTCAATCTTCAAAGTCGTCTTTGATGACATCGTCGCAAGCAATCCATCAGTCAATTATGGCATCTTCATCATCAKCCAAAGAGCTACCGATGACATTGTCATCATACCTTGCTCAATCATCTATGATAACATCACCAAATCCCACCAAATCTTTTAAAATAACATCATCAGAAGTAGAAGTATYATCCGTGGCGACATTGACACAGTTTTCTCAATCATCAATGGGAGAAATGTCTAAGATACCGTCAACAAGTTTATCATCGTCTTTGACAATTGCAGTCTCTGACGTAGTAACAAGCATTGTGTCCTCAGAAATAGCGTTGCCAACTACAATGTCAAAACAAATATCGGTAGATTCATTAACATCGACATCGTCACTGCCGATGTCAATGACTGAGAAAACAACCGTTACGTTAGAAACATCAGTGGCAATACTTTCACCGACATTGTCGTCGATTCAAGCATCATTATTCACACCACCGACGTCAACGCAACAAATGTCAGCACCACTAACGCCATCGACATCAATCTTGTTATCTTCTTCTTTCTTATCATCAGGAAAATTAAAATCATTAACGTCGACATCATCATTAATGATATCGACTCCAGTGCAATCTTCAACGCTACAAATTCAAGAATTAACATCATCATTACCACCATCACCATCATCATCTTCGTCCTATTTATTTTCTTCACCAACAACAGTTTCTGGTTCAACAAYGATATCGTTGATGCGGTCATCTTCGATGGCAGTGTCTCCAGAATCGCGTTCTTTGAAGACGAAATCACTATTTGCATCATCAACAATATTACCAACACCAMCGAATCAGTTATCATCTTCCCCATCGCCTTCATCAATGACACTTCAATCGCAATTAAGTTCGGTATCTTTACCTACTTTAGCATCCATGTCATCAATGGCACCCTCTTCGATGTCATCATTAGCTCTGAAGCTTTCAAAAACATCCTCATCACAATTACCAATGMCATCGTCGTCAGGAATGCCAAGTTCATTGCAGACGCAAATGCCAWCTTCAGTATCAAACTCATCAACAACAACATTTTCAACGCTGCAACTATCCTCMTCRTCATCGCCGTCACTATCTTCAAAAGCTTTGTCAACATCAGCTTCACCATCTCCACCACAATCATCTGCAATATTATCAGCAACACAGGCCGAATCATCAAAACAATCATCCCAATCCTATCAATCAACATTGATTCAAACAGAATCAGCTCAACCGCAGTCAACAAAAACAATATCAACACATCGGCAGTCATCATCGTCGCCGATACAATCAACCACATTACTGACAAMATCTTCGTCAACAGCATCCTCAAGAGTACTGATATCATCAAAAGCATCRGTTTTATCARCTCCAGCACAACCGTCTCATCTACCATCAACATTGCAGGCAGAATCTTCAACTTTATCATCCTTAGCAACGACCTTGTTGTCATCATCGTTGTCAGCAACATCCTCACAAGCAATAACGTCATCGACATCACCAAAGGCAACACAATTATCATCACTACTATCACCAACACAGTCAGGATCATCAGTAGAGTCATCCTCATCACCTCAAACAGAATCATTTCAGGCTAAATCATCACAAACATTATTAATTCAGACACAATCTTCGCCTACGCTAACGCAATCACCAACATTCTCGTCAACAACTTATCCACAATTCTCAACAATTTCATCCATGATACCACAGCAATCCTCAACATTGTCCACACAACCGCAATCTTCATCAAGCCTGACGCAATCATCATCAACCTCTTTGTCACAATCGTCAGAATCTTCAACGGATTCACAATCGACCCCATTCAAGACACAATCAGCATCAACAGTGTCAACAGAACCTCAGTCTTCATCAAGCCCCACACAATCATTATCAACATCTTTGACGCAACCGCAAATATCATCAACATCATCAACGCTGCCTGAACCAACGC